CCCCAACCTCAAGATCAAGTATTAGTGAAAAAGGGAGGAGGCCTCCCTGTGGAGTGAGCCATGGAGGAGGGACTGCTAACAGAGGAGTCACCTGGAAGGTAGGGATGAGTCCCAGATTTTGGAGTGTGTGTGTGTGTGTGTGTGTGTGTGTGTGTGTATGTGTGTACGTTGTGAGTGTATGCATGTGCATTTGTGCCCGCCCCCACCCCCACCTCAGTGTCCCAACTTCTCTACCACCAACCCCAAGAGGATTCAGGGAAGAGGCCCTATGTGAAGGTTGAGGAGCCTCTCTCCTGCTGGGTTAGGCCTGTAGGTAGAAGCTAAATACACCAAAGTCTTCTTCAAATAGACCTTTCCAGACAGGAGAATCTCTTCACCACAGAACTACTCCTGACCTGGAGAGAGGAACAGAGTGACTCCTATCACCCTCATGGAATGACTGCAACCCTGTTCATTGCTCAGTAAGCCCATAAACGAAGAATGCATCAATGCCTGTGTGGACAGGAGTCACACCCGAGACACACTGCATTCATCCTGCGGTTTCCAGAGCCCTGTCATGGATATTGGCTATTCACAGCTGTGCTGGAGGTGGACAGGACACAGTGATCATCTTCATTTTTAAAATGGGGAGCTGAGGCACTGAGGAATTAGCCACCTTGCCAGTGTCATAAGGAGAGTAAGCGGTAAAGCTGGGATGAAACCAGTAGCCCTGGAGTTGGTTCCAACTCATGGCGACCCTGTGTGTGTCAGAGTAGAACTGTGCTCCATAGGGTTTACAGTGGCTGATCTTTTAAAAATAGATCACCAGGACTTTCTTGCAAGGAGCCTCTGGGTGGACCTGAACCCCTAACCTTTCAGTTAGCAGCCAAGTGCATTAACCGTTTGCACCACCCAGGGATGCCTAAGCTGGGACTCGAACCCAGGTTTTCAGATTTCTAGCACAACACTCCGGTACAGCCCACTGCCTGTCCTTACACCATAAAAACTATAGAAGTATATCCTTTAAGATTTCAATGACTCTTGCCATCCTTCCTTACTCTAGAGCTTCCTCAATGGCAAGATAAGTCGCATGTTTGGGAAATGTGGCACAAAACAAGGAGGATATAGGTTTTTTAAAAAAAGCATAGAGGATTTATAAATTAAAGCTGCATAACTGCTAACTAACTAGCCTCCATTTCCCAATCAGTTTCAATTACTTTCATATATGTTTTTAAACTCAAAAGTAGCTGGAATCCCAATATGTAACCCTCTTAATGCTTGCTGAATCGCTCCATGCCATTTCATTTTTATTTCCTTCCTTTCCCAGCATGTCTCCCATGCTGGCGCATGCATCCAGCACTTGGGATTGTCTCAACTCTCATCATTTCAAAAGATGAATTTCCGCCTTGTATGTTTTGTAGACTCATTCTCATACCTTAAGGGTACATATAATTTGCACCCTAATAATTCACTTAAACAATTTTCTTCCGAAAACACTAATGTAATCATTCCTCATAGCATGCCTAAAACAGTCAAATTATTACCGAACGCAATGGGTTCGCCCCTCATACTCTCGTCGAGAATAACTAAGAGTCAAGTGGATTTAAAGCAAGGCATAGTTTGTTATTTCGGGGAGAGGGGGATCCTCCCCGAAAGCTCTCTCTCTCTCTCTCTCTCCCCCCCCTTCTCTCTCTCTCTCTCTCTCTCTCTCTCTCTCTCTCTCTCTCTCTCTAACAAAGGGCTGGGAGGGGGGGCAGTTTTGTACCACGCAGGAAAGGGGAAGTCATACATATCCGTTAACTTTATACATATTCAAAAACAGGTTGGGGTAGGATTTGGCACGCAAGTGGCTGACGGACTTCTCGCTTCGGAAATGGGCTCGGTCACCGCTTGATGACGTATGTCCGGTGATTTCGGTTCCTAGGCAATACTTACGGGATGAGGCTATCTGACAGTCAACTTGGTCTCTTACTGCGTGTGCCCAGGATTCTAGTTTTGATTGGCTGATCTGAAAGACAGCTAGAAGCGGACAGTTAAGGAGGAAGCTAACAACTTTTGCACCATTCTTCTTCTAGAAAAAATTTTTAACTGAAATAACTTGTCGTTTAAGGCCTTTTCTGTCCCTAGCTGGTCTCAAAATTACAGCGAAAGTGATACATTCAAGTGGTGAGCTGTGTCTCCCATCTGGCAGAGACTCCCTGCGACCATTCAGTTCAGAAATCACGGGTGATGCGCACACAGGAGGATAGCATGAACACATGTGACTAGAGCTCTTGGGACTCCATGATGCTCCCCAGTTAATTTCCAAAGAGAAGAGAACCTCTCCATGGAGACATTTCCAGTCAACAGCAAGCAACCGGGAAAAAAAAATTAATGTGAATAAATTTATTTTCCTGTAATGGTCTAAAAGACATACATTTCAAAGAAACTGGCTTCAACATGATTCTGGTCCTTCTGATCAGAGAAGAAAGGCTGGGTCTAATTGACAGTCCTGAAGCACTGAAAAGAGAAGATATTTTCAAAAGCCGTGTCTCTGAAGCAAAGCTAGGTTAAGCAGTGTCACTTTGATGTCTCCCCCCCCATGTCTTCCGCCAGTGAATGGCCTGCTCATATAGCCCATCCAGCAGGCTTTGGAAGGGGCTGGAAACCACTTCGACACAGTGCCCATTACTTTACGATAACCCAAGTCTTCTAGAACAGACTTGTTGGAATTCTAAGAGATTGAAAAAGGTCAATTCATGTCATTTGCACAGTAGCGTGTCTTCATCCACCACCTGTCTGTTCCAAACCAGCCAGGGTGGGGGGAGCAAAGGTAGTTAAAGGGGCTATCTGAGCTTCCTGTGGCTACCGTAACAAAGTACTGTACCACAAAGTAGGTGGCTGAAAGCGCCAGAAATTTATCCTCTCACAGTTCTGGAGACTAGAAGTCCAGAACTTCTCATACGTCAGCAGGGCCATGCTCTCTCCAAAGGTTCTAGGGGAAGATCCTGTTTTGTCTCTCCCGGCTTCTGGTAGACCCAGGCATTTCCTTGACTTGTGGCAGCATTACTCAGGGGTTATGTGGCCATCTTCCCTCTGTGCCTCTTCTCTTTTATAAGGACACCACTGAGATGGTATTGGAACCCACCCTACTCCAGCATGACATCATGTGAACCTAACTGATAACATCTTCAAAACCCCTATTTCCAAACAAAGTCACATTCACAGGACTTCAACATATCTTTGTTTCGGGTGGTGGCGGGGGCACAGTTCAATCTGTAACAAGGGCAGATGTGCATAGATGTGTGCGCAGACTGGGTACCACTACTGTAGTAAAGGTTGAAGTCTAGCCCCCATTCCTTGCATCCGCCACTTCCTTTGTTCATTGATTTGGCAGAATTCACAGTATGATCAGTGCCGGCACCTTCTACATGGCCTGCACTGGGACAGCCTTCCACCTCCTTGATACGTGTGAGAGTTAATTGGGCCAGCAAGACATGTATTTCTTGTTTTATCATTTTAACCTGTTACCTCATTCCCTGGTTTTCTTACCATCCTAGCACTTGCCAAAATCAACCTCAGGCACGGATGGTGAGAAAATGATTTTTGCCTACCGAGTCAAAGCAAGTGCCCAAATATTAATGGGTATTTATCTAGCAACAGAACCTGAGGCTTCATGAACCAGAAGGACTTCGATTTCCAACCCTAATGTCTAAACTTGGGAAGTGATTCATTTATTTAAAAAAAAAAAAAGAAAGAAAAGTTTCTTTGGAAGTGCATTGAGTTGTTGTTATGCATCAAAGGGTTCAGAGTGTTTATTCATTGGTCACCTGCAATGTCAAGTCCAATGTCAGATTATATGCTGTCTCTGTTACAAGCTGTTGCTTCTGCATTCTAATTGACAGCAGTATTCTGTTCTTCTCCTTAGCCTTTTCCCACCTCCAGGATTCACAAATATAAAGGTGCCCAAATAGATACTTTTGAAGAGGTCTGAACAACCCTGAGGTTGTCAAACTGGTGCTTCAACACACTCTGTATTAAATGTGATTTCTATAGCCTGAAAAAGTCTAGGAATTACAAGTTTGGTTCTGATTACATAATTATGCTACAGAAGTATAAAAAAAAAATCATCACTAAAACCCTCCAGGTGCTTAAACAGTTTGATAGACTGTAGCCATTCTGCCATCAGCGTCCCCGGCTGTGTTGCTTAGCAACATTTTAATTCCAGAAGAATCGAAGGAGATGAAATCCCTGTGGAGAGAGAAACAGAAATAAGAGGGCTGTTGACAGATGATCTGCGTTGTTTCTTCCAATATACTGTGAAGATCGCGAGCTCTTTTCATGAATGATAAATGGACTGAACACAGATCAATGGATTCAGCAATAAACTGGAACCAGGCTCCCTGGCTAAGGTGACGCAGGCCGAGAGGACCAAAGAGTTCCTCATTTCGATGATTTGGTGTGTTTTCTTAAAGGTTTCACAGGAGGAAATTGATCTGAGCATTCGGTCAGCCTTTGCCCTTTTGTGGTGTCGGCTAAGAAAAGTGATTTTGGAAATGGACACTTTGGCCTTTCTATCCCTGTGCAGGTCCGGCCAGGTGTCAATAGTGATGTTAGGAGGGATGGTGCCCTACCACCAATCTAGAAGTCCAGGCTATGCCTGTGACTGCTCCTTCCACAGCTGCCTGCCCACTCTGCCATTACAACCGTATCAAGCCCACTCGGGGGTAAGATAAGGCGAGGGGAGGAGGCCCGAACTGCGTCCTGAAGAGCTGGGCTCTTGCTGAACTTCCCAAGCAGCCCTGACGAAGCCTGCCGGCTGTGGAAGCCTCACGTGGACAGGTAACCACATTCCCCGGGAGAGGAAAATTGCTTTCTGAGTCTCTGCTCTGCTTATCTCCAGTAGCCTACTTCGCTTAGCTCCTCGTGTTTCTGAAGAACATTTTACATGGCTTATTGTTCTGGTAACTAGTCGCCAAGATTATGTCTGCTAATGTTGTCTAATTGAGTTTTTTTTTTTTTTCTTCTTCTTCTGTTTACAGGCTGTTGAAAAGGCAAAGCCTAAGAATAATACTATAAAGTAAGTTTATTTTTTTTATTAGTTGGAACTTTTAATTTTAATGGACTCCATGCATGCATGTAAAATAGAAAAAATCATAATAATAAGGTCATAAAAGAAACCTTGGGTTTTGAGTTCATCTCTGTTCATGATGATTAAAAGAGAAAAAACACAAACAAGCCAAAAAGCCCCTCCAATGAGCAGGGACCAGCTTTGATTTGTCCCTGTGTCCCTGGTGAGGAAATGCCCCAAGTTGTGCCCAGTTTACATAAATTAATATGCACCACCCATGAATAGCTGCCAAATACTATTATAATCATATTCAATGCATAGTACTTCAAGCCTTTGGATTTTGCACATGCTAAAAAGATGACATTTTTAATTGCAAACCTTGGGCCTATGACAGAGACGTAAATGGCTAAAAGTGTGCTGAGTGATTTCTAGCCACATGGGGAGGTTTGGCACCTCAGCATCAAGGCCTTGCTACTCTGTTAATGAAAAGCTCGTAAAAATATATTTAACTAAAGGTTTTCCTAGCTAACAGAGAGCTATTTCTAAGGTATTTTGTGGAACACCATTAAATTATAAACAAGCTGAACACCACTCTTTTAAATATAGACATCCTGTCTCTTCCAGACGGGTGGCTTTCAAATTAAGAAGGATGTCTGTCTTGTCATTTGGGATGGTGACATCTGATTGCAGCATTACCATGCATACTAGTCCAGCCAGCCTTGTGGCAAGGGAGGAACTGCCTGATAATAGCTTGGCCGCTAACTGAAAGGTCGGCGGTTCGAACCCACCAGCTGCTCTGCAGGAGAAAGATGTGGTAGTCTGCTTCTGTGAAGAGTATAGCCTTGGAAGCTCTATGAGGCAGTTCTACTCTGTCTTATAGGGTTTTGCTATGAGTCGGAATCCACTAGATGGCAACGGGAGGAACTACGTTCGTTCACGGCAGCCGACTTCCATTCAAGTTGGTACCAAATACAGACATGGGGGGATGCATTGATTTTTAGTAGTTTCTGGGAGAATGTGTCAGCTAATGCCAATGGCAAGATGGTTGCTTGTGCTCTGTAAAAGAATTAACTTTGCCAGGCCACCAGGGTAGTGTTTAGCATGCCATTAATCCAAGCCCTAGTTCCTTTTTCCAAAAGGTTTGGTGTATTTTCTTTGGAAAATTTAATTTTTCTTAGGCCATAGAATATTCCTGTCAGGCTTCTGTGGGCCTCTAGGGGGACTCCCATATTCTGCAGATGTATGATGCCGTAGTAGTCCTATGGAAGTATTAAGTAGCTGATTTTCTGTGCTGTGGTTCGGTCGGGATTGAAATCTTCTCTGTAGGCTGATTTATTTTACGTCTGCCCTGAAGGCTTCCCTCTTGTGAGCCTGTGGCCGGCAGCTCCATGGATTAGAGGATGGTGCTAATGAGGCCAAGGCCCAGCTTCAGTCCCTGGGTGGTCCATTAGTGACCTTTCACACGGTCCGAGGGCACCCCTCCCTCTAGTCAGCCTGTGTGCAGATGTGCACCCCAGGTCACAACGGGTGGCACGAGGGCCCTCAGCGGGGCAGACATCTCCGTGTTTGAGTCCCATGATAGGAAGTGAGCCCCCAGAGCCATCTTTGCATGCATAGGACAGCTCACTGCCCTCAATTGTACTGTGATGGCCTGGAAGCTGGACCAGTTTTCTCTTCGCTCCTTGTGACGATTTGACTATACAAATAATTATATTTTTATGAGCTCTTGTTGATTTGCAGTGCCGACTCCAGCTGATGTCTAGAGATTGAAGGAATAGTATAAAGACAAATCAGGCAAACTAGCAGATCCGAGGGATTAGTAATAGAATATGGAGCTTTTTATTTTAAAATATATTTGAAAATCTGCTTAGTAATAAACCTAACTTGCATCCAGCTGGTAGGTATTTAGGATTGTCTTCTAATTAAACAAGATATTGTGCTCAGCGTGGGTTTGGATGTCCTGTTGCATTTGAGCTCATGATATCAAACTCACTTGCCCAGCCACAACCATATGGGCACTTTAAGAAGAGCGGCCTCCTTAAGACCTTGGCTCATGAACAGAAACTCCAGAGCTTGGTTCAATTACATTGACTGACAGCAGAACAAAATCGGATTTTTTAAAAGTTTCAGATATAACGGTCCTTTGGCAGTTTCTGATGTCTGCCGGAGAATTTCAGTTACACACAGTGTGTAGAGTAAGGGCTCGATACGTGTTTTCTGAATGAATGAACAAGTAAACACGTCGGACACATCCCAGAAAACAATCCTTCCAGAACCTGGCCTGGAGGCTTAATGAGGCTGATGGCACCACCAGAGCCAGGGGGACACTCTAGTGAGGGTGGCCATCAGATCGGAAGGGCGAGTGTGTTATGTAACTGACCAGGTCGTCCAGTCTCTATTCTCCTTGACTCATGCCACATTTAAAATGTTCCCCATTTCTCTGGTTTGTTCTGTTTGCTTCGCCTGTGACCAGTTACTAGTTTAATCTCGTGGGCAAGAATTAACATCTGATTGTTTTTTTGAGCATACAATGAAAAGTGTGTACGGTCTTGCTAGAAAAGTAGCGGTTCGGTGGCATCATTTATAACTGAAGTTTGAACACAGGTGGGTGAAGATGAGCATCCCTGTAATTTGATGTAACGGCTGGTGCAGAGGTTGGGAAAGTCCCACCCGCAGGCCAATTCCAATCATTTTTCAATAGTTGAAAAAACCAAAAGAATAATGCTCTGTGACATGTGAAAATTGCATGAAATTCAAATTTCAGTGTCCATAAATAAAGTTTTATTGGAACACAGTCATGCTCATTCATTTAAATATTGTCTGTGGTTGCTTCTGTGCTGTGATGGCAGGGCTGAGTCGTGGCACCGGAGATCTGATGGACTGCAAAGCCAGAAATGTTTACTGTTTGGCCACTTATAGAAAAAGTGTGCTGACCCCTGCTGTCGTGGATCAGGTAGAAAAAGGCACAGATGGAAGCTTTTTCATGACAGCTGAAGGTTAAACTATCAATCCGCTCTCTTTCTGGCCTTTAAGAAGTAAGTAGGTATTTCCTGAGCCCTTATCGTGTGTTCAGGACGTTCTGGGTTGATGTACTCCCTGATTCTCACTCAGCGCAAAGAGGCTCACCCTTAATTCACTCCCTTTTGAAAATTGTTATGAATATAAAATCCATTGATAGGAAAGTGGCCCCTCAGAAACCTCCTGACTCCTGCTCTGTGGTTGTAGCATCAACAACGAACACATTTCCAGAACCCTATGCTGGTCTTCCAAGCTGTGTGTAGATGGCTGTATTGCAAAGGGTATATGTATTTGCTAAAATTCTGTTCCTTCCCAAGATCTCACTAAGGCTAAGTCACCTTTCAGCTGGGGTGACGGTAAATGAGTCACAATACTCATTCAGTTCGTCTGTTTTCCTCTCTAAAAGTTCGCCTGCCTCTCCCCTTTTCTCAACCACTTGTTCAATTTACTTTTAATACCTTCATGGTTGTAAGCTTCTTTCATCGCCATAGGGAGACTGTGGCGCACATTAATTATGCTCCATATAAAGAAGGAATTACATATATGTTTAGTGGATGTAAGGACATAATGTACCTGGATACACTGATGCTTTTACCCTGCAACTTGAAATATTATCGCTGAGGGTAAGAATCAAAATGGAAAGGTCTTAAGATCAGTGATCAGGACAAGAGATTCCTGGTGTAGCTCTCAGTATAGAGGAACCACGCCGGTATCTAAAGCTCGGTATGGACATTGAGACTCTGGCTCTTTAATGCATCAAAGAGACTTTCCCTTGTATGTTAAATGTGCGCAGCAACCATCTCCAAGCTCTCATTGTGACAACAGGGGCTGAGAGATGTACAGATTTCTCCTACCATATGGGACTTATCACATACATTTAAAAAAAAAACACATTTCTGTTATTAAGACATATGTGAGAGGACACTTCTGCAAATGTGAATGGCTTTTGGCTAAAAGCCATGCACTAATCAGTTGACTTGAATCTAACCGAGGTTGACATCTGTTACCAAAAGAGAGAGAGAGGGAAAAAGAGAGAGCGAGCCAGCACAATTGCCAAGCATAAAATTCTTCCTTGCTTTTCCACTTTGACAAGGAGGTTGTTGTCTTGCACACACTAGGATCGGGATCCACTCTGCTTAGGAAAGTACAGCTTTATTTAGGAGCTGATCCATCTCATAGATATGGTAGTTTCATTACCGAAAAATGACAAATAGCCCCAAAGATTTCCCTGCCCATGATGTTGGTGTATTATTCATTTAGTCATGCGATGAATATTTATGGAGGATCTGCAGCATTCTGGGAACTGTGTTAGATGCTGAGGGAATTAAAAATAAACCTGACACAGGCCTTACCCTCGAGGAGTTTAGAGTCCACTAGGAGAGACAGAATCGGTTTGTAAGTAACTGTATACAAGACAGGGAGAGATATGTTTGTTAAGTGGGGGCAGATAAAGTCTGACTAGCCAGCATTACCGGGGAAGGTATGCGAAGGAGGAGGCATTTGCACCAGGACTTTCAGGCCTGCTGGTTTGAAGGACTAGTGCCAAGGTGGCAGGGGGAGACGAGGAGCCCAGGCTGCCTGGCCTTGTGCAGACAGCGAAAGGTCAGGTTGGAAACCGGGGCTGAGAATCAGTGGTGACTTAGGGCCCTCAGGGTTTATCCAGATGAAGACGATTGCCTTGGTAGAGTCAAACAGCACTGAGGAGCTCTGACTTAGTACTGAATGTAAATCATCAATCAATCCCCTCGTTATTAAGTATAAACCAAGAGTTGGGAGACCTGGGTTTTAATCCTGTGTCTGCCACTAGCTTGTGGTATGAAAGTGGACACCTCCTTACCTTGCTACAAGCCTGAGCGGGATGTTTTATATGGTTCTTCCACCTCAGAAAGAAAGCCAGAGCTTGAAAGCCTATTTTATACTTAGGCTTATTTTAGGAAAATAACTGATTGGTTAAAGTCCGATGCAGATGCATGCATGTGCGTGCATGATAA